AAGGTTTAGGGTTTAGAGTTTACCCTAAACCCTAGGCCCTAAACCACCCAAAAAACCCTAGGCCCGCACGATGAGTTTGAGTTGGGTCAATCCCCCCACCCAGTAATGAGGCCCACAAAGGATTGTTGTCGGTACATTAGGGGCCCAGTAACTCCACATTTAAGGGCCATTACTGTTGGGGGAGATTGCCGTCAGGTCCTCACCCCAAACCCTAAACTCTAAACCCTACATCGAAACCCTAAACCCGTGGTGGACGAAAAGAGGTGTTGCAAAATACACCTAAATTCGACGAGGTCTCGGGATTTGGAGTTTTTTGGTTTTAGGGTTGTGAGGTTGACATTATGCCTTAGAGCATACAAAGCCGGGATTTCGTTCACCAGACTTAGAGTGTTTAGGGTTTAGGGATCAGGGTGAGGGTCGAGGGATTGGGGTTTAGGGTTTGAGGATTAGGGTTTAGGGTTCAGGGTACCCCGATCTTGAGCAAGACCCACATCATCCCGCCCTGAGATCCTTCACCTTGGCGGAGTTTGGGGCGCAGCTCACTCGAGTAGGCTGGGCGCCTGGGTTTAGGGTTTAGGGATTGGGGTTTAGGGTTTAGGGTTTAGGGATTGGGGTTAAGGGTTTAGGGTTTAGGGATTGAGGTTTAGGGTTTAGGGTTTAGGGATTGGGGTTTAGGGTTTAGGGAGACTTCGCGTGGAAGCTTGGTACCATGATCCTGGTACAATCCCTCAAGTGGGGATCCCTCCTACATACTACCTGGATATGCTCAGGATCCCCAAAAGGGCTCCGCTTTTCTAAAGGGAAGTCCCAAGAGAAGAGATGTGAAGCATCCGAGTGCCCCGGGCCAGGTGTTGAAGAGGAGACAGAGCATCAGGCCTTCCTGTGCAACTGTGGCCACATTTCATGATTGCTGTGAGTAAGTCGTAGATGAGACATGGGGTTTGCAGAGTTTCTCGAATTTTGGTTCCGTTCTTGGGCAAGGATCCTGACAAGGACTAGATAGAGTGTCTTAGAGGTGTATACCGGGCTCTCAAATCATACAAGCCCTAGAAAAGGAACCTTCATTTCGAGAACCATATGGTTTGCGGGACCCGAAACCCTGGGCCTTAAACCCTAAACCCTAAACACTGGGCCCTAAACCCTGGGCCCTACTCCCTACACCCTATAAACTCCAAACCCTAGACTTCCTTTGAGTGCTGTGCGTTTCGCAGAACATCTTCGGGGCCATTCATGACCCTCACAGCCACCATCAGACGGCGCGCTGCCCAGTCTTGAGGGCTTAAGGGTAAGAGTTTAGGGTTCAGGGTTTTAGGCAGGTTCAAGGGTTTTCGTTTTTGCCTTTGTTGTGTCTCCTGCTGGGAGTGGGGGACTCAGGACAATTGAAACAGTTACAAGGGCGCCAGGATTTGCGAGTTTTTGTACCTGTTGGGATTTTTCGGTGCTGAGGGCCGCGTTGTGGAGGGTCATGAGGGCAGGAACCCCATCCCTAAACCCTAAACCTTGAACCCTGAACCCTGAACCCTAAACCCTGAACCCTAAACCTTAAACCCTAAAGGCTTGTTTGGCTTGGTTCCTGCCAGGTAACACTTGAGATGCTGGCAGCAGCCATGAGTGCCATCTCACCGTCACTATTGCTGGAGGACGGTGGGAACACGAGGTTGCAGTAAGTCACTTGTGCTTTGTCTTTTCTTTCCAATTATAGGGTGTCCGGCTGGAGACTGGGTCATATGTGTATAACATGCACGCATATATCTGACAACATGCGGACACGTTCTATGCATAGATTCTAATTTGCACATGTGCATCTAGCAGGACCCTGGTTCGACTTAAACCTTAAACCCTAGCCCTCAAACCCGAAACCCTACCCTGAGTAGTGGTGAGAGTGAGATGTGGCATGCTCCGCGATTGGCCGTGCAAGATGCAGCTTCAGGACTTGCGCGACAAGATCCTCAAGAAATTTGGGCCACTTATCTGGCTCATTTACCACCTGCAGAGATCTGGTTGAGCTAGGGTTCTCCAAGGGAGCTTCATGAACGAATCCTTGTGAGGTCTCTCTCGAACTGCTTTGCAGCTCTTGACATGGATCAAGGGGACCTGGCCTCAGTGTGGCTCGGGACATCTAGGCATTGCGACATCACTTGTACCGGCAGTGCCACTAATCCGCTTGGTCCTCTGTTTGCGCTTTGGGGTGACTTTGAGTAGGATGATGATGATGATGATGATGATGCCGATG